ATATCACAGAATTGCTCACTTAGGGAATTTGTAGGTTTTGGAAGTAGGAAGTGCTGTGGGAAGGTAATGTTGATAGTCTGTAAGTTTGAGAGAGAAGGATATTAGAAGTTTTGGTGAGAAGAATAATATTTTGGCAGGGAGATGAGTCGAGTTGTGCAGGCCCTGCCTTTCTTTAATAGCAGGTGGAATGGTTTCTTTAATCTCAAGAACCATCCCCAAAAGTTAGGTTTGAAAATTCTAGTAGAAACTGTAGTTGTAACTGTAAGCAGTTTGAGTCCTGACTGAAAATGGCCATGTTAACTTTCATATCTGGAATGTTTCTTCTTGCATGTTTAATAATGTATAAATAAGCAAGCCACTGATTTACTGTGCTTCCAGTAAGTGGAAACAGTTGTGTCTTCATACCTTGCGAAATAGACCTCATTTACTTGTAGACATCCTTATAAATGTAGCAATCTCTCTGGATGCAATACCATGATGGCTATGGGACATTCTGCGGATATTTCCAAAGCAGAGCACTTCTGCTTGGAGGTACTTTGCTCTCTCTCTGCTATATGGTGAGGGAACTTGCTGGCTTTAGTGAGATATTGTAGCTTGTTCTGCATAGGACGTGCTCAATAAAATGGGAGTTCACTTGTATCCGTATGAACAGGATCTGAAATGCATAGAATCACTGAATACCATGTCTCCAGGCCTGCGTTTTCTCTTGCACAGTCACTGGGGTGATATTGTTGAAAAAACAGCAGCAACAAAAATAAGACTAGGGCTTGTAGCTTTGTTGCATACTTGTAGCAGTAGAAAAGCATTAATGGTCACTGGATTAGCGTTACAAGGGGAGAGATGTGTGTGGACATCTTAGGAAGAAGTTAGGTATTTCTGTACCCTTAATCACTTCAGGTTTCGTTTTCTAGAATTACTATGTGCAAACACTACGTAGACCATAAATTACTTTTTTTCAATAACTTGAAAATTCTGAAAAAGAAAAGTTCTGCTACCGGAGATTAACTTGAATGTTTATTTGAGAGGCGGCTAGCTCACATCCCCACTGCTTTGATTGTGTCAGGTGGACAGTGAAAGGTTCCAACTTTCAAGGTTTGCCTTTTTGATAGACTATTTCTTCTGCTTACTCATATTTTAGTCCATGACATTTTATAGAATTAGTATGTTTACATTTTAAAGAGGATTAGGCGTGTATTCGTGTTTTATTGATAACATCAGATTATTTTTCACTTTTTTAGTGGCAGCTTGCAGCTCTGTCAAAGCACTGTAGAAACAGTTATACTTAACAATTTCATAAGGCAATTGCCAAAAATACAGTTTTGGCAATTAACTAGCAGCTTCATTAGCAATGGGAACTGGAGTAGTTGGTGGTTAGTGGATATACAGAAGAGATAGTAAGACCCAACGATTACAGAGGCTGGCTCAAGTGAGCTAAATTTTCCTTCATAACTGTATTCCTCAAAGAACTTCACTGGAGAAAATGGTGCTGTGGAGGAGAACATTGCCACAGTTGCTCTTGGTGTGTAGAATGAAGGCAAGTATTCTGCAGCTCTCATTTTTGTCTAGGCCACCTTTTTACCCCTGAAAACAGCGGCATTGATCTCTATCATGCTTGCAGCATAAGGTTGCTCAGGAAATGATTTGAGGCTGTCATGTCTCCTGCTGATGCCTTCTCCCATGATAGGACACATGAGAATAGCTCAAAGCTGCGTTTCCAGGAGAGATTTAGGCTGAACATTAGGAAGCATTTCTTTACTGAGAGAGTGATCAAACCCTGAAACAGGCTTCTTAGAGAGGTGGTTGATATCCCAAGCCTGTCAGTGTTTAAGAGGCATTTGGGGAACGTCCTTAATAACATGCTTTAACTTTTGGTCAGCTCTAAACTGGTCAGGCAGTTGAACTACACGATCAAAATGTAGGTCCCTTCCAACTGAAATAGTCCTGTTCTATTCAATTCAAAAAATTGCCGAACCCTCCCCCCAAAACCAGGACTCAAAATGTGGAAATTTGAACAACTTTAACGAGTGATTCTTCAATAGAATCATAGAATCACAGAATATTAGGGATTGGAAAGGGACCTTAAAAGATCATCTAGTCCAACCCCCCTGCCAGAGCAGGATCGCCTACAGTAGGTCACACAGGAACGCGTCCAGGTGGGTTTTGAATGTCTCCAGAGAAGGAGACTCCACAACCACCCTGGGCAGCCTGTGCCAGGGCTCTGTCACCCTCACAGTGAAGAGGTTTTTCCTCATGTTGAGGTGGAACTTCCTGTGCTCTAACTTAAACCCATTGTTTCTTGTTCTATTGCTGGGCACCACTAAGAAGAGATTGTCCCCTTCCTCTTGACACCCACTCCTCAGGTATTTATGTAAGTTAATAAGATCCCCTCTCAGCCGTCACCTTTCAAGGCTAAACAGCCCCGATTTGCTCAGTCTTTCTTCACAGGAGAGATGTTCAAGTCTCTTGATCATCCTCATAGCTCTCTGTTGGACTCTCTCCAGTAGGTCCCTGTCTCTCTTGAACTGGGGAGCCCAAAACTGGACACAGTATTCCAGGTGTGGTCTCACCAGGGCAGAGTAGAGGGGGAGGAGAACCTCCCTAGACCTGCTGGACACACTTTTCTTAATGCACCCCAGGATCCCACTGGCCCTCTTGGCCACAAGAGGGAAGGAACCAAGAACTGGATTCTAAGATGATACTGCTGGAACTGAAATGACCCAAGAGTTAAACTGCTTATGACAGCAGGCATTTCTTAATGGCTTCTCTGGCCCCTCAGGCCTTGTCCACATTGTATAAATGAGAGTGAGCACAGCGCTTTACCATGAGCAAGTCTGGATATGCCCTTCCACTTGTGTGATGAGGGAGATTGCGAAGGCGTCGCTTGATTTCTCGAGGTGCTGGTGTTGGCCTGACCTGCACTATGGCCGTGGAGAATAGACAGCCTGAATGACCTTGCTGCCTCCTGGCAGTGTTGCGTGGGATGGCCTTTGCACAAGAGCTTCTTTTATCACTCTGAAACCACTACAGATGAAACTTGTTTGTGGTTAAGAGTCACAGGGGGTTCTAAGACTGAATTAAGATGGAGTTTGCTCACTATGGGAATAATCTTTTGCCGTTGTGTACGGCTTGTCATCAGGGGGTCTTGCAGCCATTCACTGAGAGGCATGGCATGGTCACCTCTCCTTGCTCTGCTCTTCACTCTGTAAAATAAAGTGAAGTCACACAGGAGGCAAGTGACGAAGCTGGAAGCATCGACTGCTAGTACCCTGAGCCCAATCTGTTATGTGATCTTGTTTCCTTCATCTGTCCCTCCTGGACAGACCGTTAAGGCAGGCTCTGTCAGAGGGAAGCATTTCACCTCTTTGGATGATTTTTTTTTGCCGGTAAAGTCTTCGTTCATTTTAAAATCACCTGGAACATGGTATTTCGGGATATTAAGAAGTCTTAGCTGCAGCATGCATGCAGTACGTGCTTGATAACTCTTTCATGGCCAGTCTCCATGTAAGGAAATCACAGCAAAAGGAAACTTTAAAAAAAATTGCCTTGAGGTTCCTTCTGATGTTTCAGCCTCAACATGGAATTAGTGAAAGGGAACATCCACAGCTGCCATTTCCAGTAGAAACAAAAGAAAGAGATTTTGCTGAGTCTTATGCTGCCATACATCTTTCCTCTCGATGTGCGAAGCCTGAAAACAGGATGAATTCTGCTGTCTGCCTCACGTGATGGCCTTTGGTAATGAAGTACTGCAGAACACACTGTTTGCCCCCGGTGTCTCTCTTTGGATTTGTGTCCAAGGCCCGAGCAGGGCATGTTTTGGGTATGTTGCTTGCTGTAGAACAGAAATTCCCTTTAAAAAGAAATTGATGTTATGCAACCAAATTCATAATTCCAAGACAGATGTTAGAACACAAAATTAGAATGGTGGTTGCTACAGAAGTTACTTCAGTCTCTTATCTCTGAATTACGTCTCCAGCACACTCTGTGGAAACTTTAAACTTAACTACTTTCAGTTTAATGAGCTCCTTTGAAAAGAAAAAAAAAAGTCTTTTGTTGCCAATGCAGTGAATGTGTTTGTACCAGTTAGAAGTAATAATTGAATCAAGATATGTGTAGATAAAAAGCAATGTGAATGCATGTACAGGCATTACACACCTTAGAAAAGGCCAGAATTCCCATCCTTAGCTTAGTTTCTTTCCTGGTGAGTAGAGATATTGATTAATAGAGAAAGATACCAATCCACGTACGGGTGGCAGTGTTGTGACTTTAATTATTAAAGAACTCTTGCTATAACTGATTTTTTCACTCAAGTAGAACTTGGGAAAATAGAGAAGTGTAAATGCTTCACTGACAGCAGATTAAAAATTGTTTTATTAGCTTTAATAAAGATCAGCATTGTCAGGGTTTTGAGTAAGTGTTAATATAAGGCTGCGTGAGTGCAAATCTGTCTGAATTTTATTTCAGGAGCACCTGCAAGTTGAATCCACATGTAGTGGTGGAGAGGTGGGAAGAGAAATACTAAAAAGGATCAGTTAGATCAACTGTGATCTATCTGGGACATGCATGCACTAGTGAGTTTCAGTCAAGGATAAGAGCATATTCTGTCTAATATTACTTGATGAAACTTGCATTAAGTTTTCTGAACTGTAAACCTTTACCTGCACATACTGAGTGTGTAAACCGTGTGTGTTTCACCTATTAAATTCTATTGAACTATTCTCTTCAAAGCTCATTTTATTTTTTTCCTAGCAGTTTAAGTAAAGAGTTTATTTTTGGGTGAAAGGCATTTGTAAAAAAGTATTCTTCTTCAAAGTACGTTGTGGTGATTGTAAAAGATTCCCTTCACGGTGGTTTCAAAAAGTGTATTTTTATCTTTAGGTTCCAGCTGTTTTCTGTTAACTGTTACTAAAATGGTAAAACGTGGTGTGTTTAAGATATTTTGATCTTTTCAGGAGTTGTATTTACTTTGTTCTTGTTTTTCTTCTCCACCCTCCTTTCTGTAGGAAGAATCTTAAATCGTTTCTCCAAAGATATTGGCCACCTGGATGACTTGCTTCCACTGACGTTTCTGGACTTTGTGCAGGTATTTCAGCTGCTACTGTCAAAGACTTCTACACGGCATTCTGAGTTTATATTCCTGCATGCTTTGGTGAAGATCAGCTATTTGTCACAGATGTAGCCGAGTTGAATGAAAGTACTTGTTTGTGAAAGAAAGGTGCGGTTGAAATTTAATGTGTCAGTAAAAAGCTAACATGAGTAATAACTGGCAGGTAGGAGTGGCTGTACACAGCTTGCATTATGTCAAGATTTGAGTTCATAGTAGCTACATGCTTGGTAAATTGCTCCTGATTTGCCTCTAGCCATCTGGCAAGCTTATTGCTGTTATAAGAAATATGTCCATAGTAAAGAAACAATCAACTCACATGAAAAGATAGCACAGATTAACCTAATTACGTGTCTACTTCCACAAAGAATCAAATGCTTACCACACCATTTTGGATTAAAATAGGTGTGGCTATTTACAAAGAAAAGATTAGTAGTAATAGGGTGAATATAATAGCCTTAATAGGAACAAGTGAAATAAGTTGCTGCAGACAAGAAAGATGGACAAAGCACTGAGATTTTGATGATAATGAAAGGATAAAGGATTACATATGACATGAAGGTAGTTTTTCTCTTGCAGTTGCTATTAATCCTCCTTGAAAAAAAATGCAGAAGGATATAGCTGCAAAAAAATTGAACATGCTGTATAAAGGTAACGTGAAACACTGGAACAGGTTGCTCAGAGAGGTGGCAGAAGCCCCATCCCTGGAAACATTCAAGGTCAGGTTGGACAAAGCTCTGAGCAACCTGATCTAGTTAAAGATGTCCCGGCTCACGGCAGGGGTGTTGGACAAGACAACCGCTAAAGGTCCTTTCCAACCCAAAACATTCTATGATTCTAGGAATCATAGAATCATACA